TGTGATGTCAATCTGACAACTAAATATTAAAATATAGGCCCTACCTCCATTTGTAAATATTCCTTGACTTTTACTATAGATTCCTCGACCAACTTTAGTACTTGCAAGAACACAAACATAATATTTGGTTGATGCATTCAAATTGTTGATGACTAACATCATCTTCTCTGTAGTATGTTCTTTAAAGCAAGGTTTAGTTTTAGTTTCTTCATGTGAGATACACACAGTATAATTGACGATCACGCCATTTCTTTTCTCTTCTTCAGGAGGATCCCACGTGACTGATAATGAGGATGAACTTTCTGCAGTGATTTTGACGTTCAGTGGAGGACCTTCTGGAGCTAAATATATCAAAATGGCAACCGTAAGACGTTTCTTTGAATTTTCTTTGTTTGGACGGGTTCAAGGATGTAACAAATGAGGCAGGGTAACAATTGGTTATTATTTTGCAGAATATCAGTCAGTTAAAATTTCTATTGCGAGAGTTGTAGCAATCTTACACAATGCGCGTAGGATCCATCATTCTTACCATCCTCACGTGTTGAAAACATAATACTTTTCTCTTCGCCGAAACCATCGTTGTTTCCAGCAGCTACAGATATTTCATAACTTGTGTATGGAGTGAGCTTGTCTATTTTATATTTATTTATTTCTCCCGTGGTCATATTCTGAGTAAGTGAGCCGTCCTTCTTTATTTTAATCCAAAATCTTGATACGCTGGTAAATCCTTGATTCTCAGGATCAATCCACGATATTTCAGCACTTTGTGACTTAATATTAAAGACGGCGAGGTTTCTAGGTTGGTCTGGATATAAAGCTTGAGAAAAAGGAAATCAAACTTATAATTAAATAACTCGATCTTCACTAACTGCAAACTCTTTACAAAAACGTCGATAGAAATAAACGTAACTTACTGTCACCGCAGATCTCAATTCTCATACAAGGTTGAACTTCATATGACAATGGAATAAACCGTAAAGCTCTTGTTGTTTTGCCGTTTAAACTTCCTATGGCTGCACCATTAAAAGCATTCTTGTTTCCCTGAAATATCTTTGAGAAAAAAAAAAAAAAAAAAAAAAAATATATATATATATATATATATATATATATATATATATATATATATATATATATATATATATATATATATATATATATATATATATATCAACGTGTAAAATAGGGTGTCACATATCAATTACCTTGTGATTTTCAGTCTGAACTTGTTTCCAATTCTCTGAATCAATAGTGTAATTTAAGTTGTAAGTCTTCACCCATTTGGCACTGGTACTGTCACCAAATGTTGCTACATTCAATATCACATAAAGTCTTCCCAAGTCCACTTGAAGATAATGTTTGCCATCTGAGACAGAAGCACACCAAGAACTACCACTAGATATCCTTGCATCAGAAGCTCTGTGACCTTCTGAAGAAACTGAGGCAGTGAAGGACGAATTTGGAAATCGTTCTTTATTTTCTATCAGAGGCTTGTCGCAAATATGACCTGAAATACGAAGATCACTTGTTAAGTTCTCGAATTTTTTACAATGGTAATTTCCTTCTAATTCTTGGACTTATTGTTTATATATTCTCCTTTCAAAACTTACATTTTATGAATGACAACTCAGAACAACTTGAGGTGGAAGATGTGATCAAACATTGACGTAAATCCTCGAGGTCGTTATTACAGTTTATAATTCCAGAGAATATTTCATCTTTGCTAGTTAATAGGACAGGCGTGTTAACAACGAAGTCTGCTCTTTTGTATCCCATTTGAATGCAAACAACATCCTTAGCTTTGTTTTTTAAACTTCCTGCACAAACACTTTTGTCTCCGCTGTCCGTAATTACTTTTACAACACCTTCGTTTGGCAACGATGAATTCGATAAAAACGCGCCAAAAACTAAAAGACAAATGCCAATTCCTAATCTTACTACGGATCACTACCATGCACCTTCTAAACCTTTAGTATTTTCTTATTTTCTTTCATTTGTAGTACATATTACATACCACAAACATCGCTATAAGATTCCACGGTATCAATACATTGATATTCAAAATAAAGATAGTTTTTCAATCCAGGACACAGATCATCAGAAACAAACAAGGTTTTATCCACAGTTATTTTACACTCATGTTGACCATCACATTGTTTCTTAACAAGACATGTTACATCAACTGTACAACTATAATCATCACTTAAACCACATGTTTTTGAGTCAGACAATCCACGGTAAGATGCAGTCTTGACCACCATGAACTGATCTTTAGAACAAGTGACATTCTCTGTCGTATTTCCATAACATGTCACTGAACCTGGAAAATAATAGTCGAAATGCAAAGATTTTTTGAATTAAAAATATAATTTTATCTGAGCCCAAGACAGAGTAGCGAACATCAACAACAATCAATAATTGAAAGTAACATGGAGATATTCCAGGTGAGACAAATTGATAGCAAAACTTTGAATGGTTATCGTGACAAGTAGTGAAAACATGTATGAATAAATCCATTTTTAAAAAAAATTCTTCTTTAAGACAAGAGACCTAATATGTCTTGTCTTGACAATGAATAGTTCGGCCATGAGCTGGTGTCGTATGTAAACTAATATATAGCTGCACATGACCAGAGCGAATAACATAGCCAGAGCGTCATAATAATAAAAATACAAACTTTTTTTAAATCTCATCACAAACTATTACTGTATTATTCTGTATTATCGCCTGTTTTCTCAACGTACTCACCCTATATACGCTGATACACAGTGAGTAGCTTTGTCAATCAGATTTTGGCGGTGAGTTGCTATACAGTATATATTTTTTAATTGTCAATGTTATATGTGTGGCCATCCACATAAGTATGGTATAATTATTTGTAACTGAATATTTACTATATATAGTGTTGTGGCAAAAACTTACCAAAGTTGAAAAGTTTATCCTCAGTGTCATTACAATTTGTTGTCAATCCAATGTAGGGATCAATTCCTTCTTTTTGAGCGAGCGGGGCGTATGTTTTATTGACTGCACACCAGTTCTGAAATGAGGTCTTGTCACGACCTTTATAATATACAGATAAACCTCCCCAAGAGGTCTGGGTTATACGACGATAGATTTTGCTTCCAGGATCTTGCGCACAGGCAGAATAATCTAATCCTCTTGATGCACTGGGAACGTAAAGATAAAACATGTCAAGAAAATAACCAAAATCAGATTTAGCATAAGCCGCAAGACATCCTTGTCTTTGCAAATTCAACATGGCGCCATTATCACGAAACCGAAACTGAGCAGCTGGATCCAGACAGTTGTTGGAAAGTTCAAGATAAGATACGCTGCCCCAGGTCGAGCCTTCTGACTGTATTCGTGCTGTGTCATAGATACACTTTCCTGTCTTCACATGTTTCACAAAGAAACCAGCAACATCTGGAAAATGAGAAAATACCGTGTGAAGTCATTGCAAGCATTTGAACTACCTGTCTAGTACTGTCTGGAAAAAGCAGCAAACAGTAATCACGATCTTTTCCAATATTAAATATATAATTCTGAGGATAATGCTTGAAGACTGCTTGAAGACTGCATGTCTTCTACTACACGTGGAATTTCGTGCGCAGAGCGAAACTTCTCTTTTCTTGTGACTGTGCCGGCGGAGCTCCGGTTTAAATAAAGCCCGATCACACAGACCGGCCCGCGATTCCACAACGCTATTCCTGTGGGAAATCACTGCAAGAAGAGTGTATTGTATTGAGTATATAGACGTCCTGAAGTTTGTCATGAGACAGAACTTGTCTCTTTCAACTTAAATTAAATTACTGAGCACGTCTTGGTAGATCAGCGAGTAAAATCATCCGTCAGTAGAAGTAAGTGATGTCTTAGCAGGTTTAATTCATGGCGAAAGAAGGGTCACATATATTTGTCAGGTAGCCATAGTCAATCTAATAATCAGTATACTTATATATGCTGGGAACTATCGTCTGGCTCTGAACACTTGTTATACACTTGTAGGCTACCAAACATATACAGTCAAGACGAACCATATTAGCGGTGAAGTCTTCTCTTTCCCAAGTTCGTTCCTCTGAATATAAATCGAGCCTAAAGAAATCTTTAAAGGCTTTTCTTGTGAGACACATATTCAATCGCGACAATACCTATAGCCCGTTCTCAAATAGTTCCTGCTTGCTTTAAATGATGTTATACAGCTTATACTTACCCTGAAAATACACGAGGATGACAATAATCCCTGTCAACTCCCATTTACAACACTTGAATAACATCTTATCAATTAATTGAGGCGACACTTCATAAAGATTGCGATATATTACATGATTTAGTTGTGCAAGGAAACGTCTTTATGATGATGGCGAAGACGGAAGAGGAGATTAATTCTATTTGACCAAGATAAATATTCATAAAAACTCAGCATGAAGTCTGAATGCTGCTTTCATAATTCAAAAGGTTAAACGAAAGTTCTGACATTCTTGAACTAATTTCTGCTGAGTTCTACCATGCAATTCTGTTATATTTTTCAAAAGCAATTTGAATGACATGGATATATTATGAATAACAGTCGAGGTGTTGATTTAGGACATGAAATATAAGCCAACAATCGCTAATGCTATGGACGATATTTAGATTTCTAAGGAAACTGTATTTCTAAGGTCTGTTTTCCTCTTTAATTGTTACGAAATGCAGCGTATTCATTAGTGCTATAGTTGAGTGCCCAGGAACAATAATGTACGCTACAATCTGGCTGTCATACGGTGGAAAAAATCCCCAAATGTTAATATTATTCAACTGACTCGTCAGATGGTATACATAAATTCATCAGGCGATATATTTTAGCCTGATCTTCAAAATATATGGAGGTTTCTATTTCCATTATCTCAATAATATTTTATGAACTGCATGTCCTTGGTCTTTTCCTAATTCCCCTGATTAAATTAAAACTAAGCGGTTATATACCTAAGTATTTAACTAGCTGATTACGAAGTGCTGATTTTGTTGTGTTAAGTATCGCTAAAGTTTGAATATTCATTAAAGGAATTCAAAACAGCTGAAACTGCTTCATAACAGAGCTTGAATTGAGCCTGAAACGGGAAAAAACACGAAGTAAATCAACTGGTTTTCTCGTGTCAATAATGTTACCTTGATGTAACTTTATGTAGTTTCATTAGAACTACGATTGGAATAGTTCATTCTGCGTTAACTTACCGCGGTCTCAACGAACTGTGGACGCTTTGCACGGATCAATTTGATGCATTGAAAGACGTCAATGACTTGAACAACTTTCACTCTGTCCACAAGATTAGAAATTGCAATGTACGTTCCACTTCTTCCAGCACCATCGCTAGGAAATAAACTAAATGCTTAAACTAATTGACAAATACTTGTTAATTGATTCTTAATTGACCGATTAATTGATTCTTAATAGATTAATTCCAGTAAAAAGTCACAAATGTATATAATTTCATACCTGCAAACAACAATGATTGGTCCCTTCTTTTCTGCTGCTCTTTTTGCGTCCTCAACTTCAGACAAAAGTTTCACAATATCGTTAACATTTTCTGGAACTCCATGGTCTGGCCACGACATGTATTGAACCAATCTTAGCATGTGACCACTTTTCAAATCCTGGTTGTGTATAGAAGAAAGTTCAAATCAAGTGTTCATCAGGATGATAATGTTTGAGATATAATCGAGCTGTACTGATAATACATACCGCTGAGGGTGAAACGATGAATTTTCTAACAACAATATTTTCTTTTTTGACGAAAGAATCCAACATTACTGTGGTGGTTCCAAATGACTGTGGTTTAGCTCTTTGGGTTGGCCAAAACATTGGGTATTCCTTGAATGATAACAATTGTGTTAGCACGATTTAAAGTGAAGAATTAGCAGTGGGCTTCACAATAGCAAGTATCAAGGCATTCCAAATTTTCCCGAAGAACAGGCATGCTGATTGGGGTGATAGAGAACAGACTTGACAGATTCTTCAGTTGGGACTGAAGAACGCAATTGTCTACTGACCTCGTCCTCACCCAACTGATTTAACATGACGATTGTTGACGAACAATATTTTGTCACCATCCTCCAAAAGTCGTTAATCGTCTCCTGCAGAGGTGTTTGTGTAGCGATAAAATAATTCTTGCCAAGATAACCCTATTTAGATAAATCGGTTTCAAAAGGGTTTTCGTCATTTTGATATTTATTTTACTATTTACTCGGTTAATTACCATAATAATAAACTCACATCGACAAAACAAGCATTTATATAATCCGAGTTTGCGACATTTTCAATATGACTGAGACAAGCACGACCAGACTCAGCTGGAACAGAAAGATAAACACAAAATATTAAAAGGGAAATTTTCAAATTAAAACACATTTTAACCTACATGGATAAATGTGTTCCTTTCGATTCTTCTTCTTGTTCTCCTCCAAAAGTCCTGCTTCGCATTGATCCTCCATCAACTTCGGCGAGACTGTGTTCAAACGCTGTACAAGAAAGAATATCTTGGATATATTGAAGGTTTAACACAAGTCCTTCACATACACTGTGGCAACGAGCTATATAAATACCTACTCAAAATTACTTTTGTGAATAGAAATGACAATGGTACGTGGCCAAGTTGCGAATGAAACAAATGTTGCTTTACCTTAAACTTCTCTTCGAATCCAGTCTGACCTTCGTTAGTTTGCTCTGATAATTTCTTGATCTCGAATTTCACATGCGTTGCTTGAACTTCATTCGCTCCACACTTGATGTGATCAACGATTGCATCATGAATAAACACATATTGATCCTGGATGGTAAACAAAATAACCTTGTTATTAATGGTGTGCTGGTGTTTGGTTTTAAGAGAGTGATTGTCACAGGCATCTTGATTGGTATTCCTTTTCATTTCGTTATAGCAACAGTTGGTTATGGACAGTCAATAGCTATATGTCACCTAACACTTACAGCAGTTTGCACCATGTTCATTCGTCTTGTTCTCATGTCCTTCACAAAGCCAAAGACATCGATCACATCTTTCTTTTCTTTGTCAAGATCATCCAAAATCTTGTCCACAGCAATGAACACTCCTGTTCGACCAACTCCAGCACTGCGTTGAAAGTATTAATGGTAAACGTTCTCTAGAATATCGCTTTTATCCCGTCCCAACCATTCCTGGGAAACTCTCATCTATCATAATTTTCACGATCTTCACTTGCTCTAACAGTAATCTAATAATTTCGTACCTGCAATGAATGACAGCTGACCCAGTTTTAGTCTCATGAAAAGACTTGAAATGTCCTCTGAAAGTTAAAATCTGTGTTGGGTAGTGAGGAACACCAAAGTCTGGCCATGCTTTGAAGTGAAACTGTTGAACTCCGTGTTGTTCACCTCCCTGGATTAAAGATAGCATATCATCTTGTCTGAGTTTATAGATAACGTGGGAATTCATTGGTGTTTATGGTTACCTTCTCAACAGTGAATATCCGAGTAACGTAATCAGCAAATGTTCTTGTTTTTCTGGCAGTCACTTTGATATCTCCATACAAACCAGAGTCATCGGGCCAGTATTTCTCACATTTTACCTGTGAAAAAGAAAGTCATATTTCACTCCGCCAGAGCAAGATCTACACAGTGAAAGATTTAGTTACTAATTTTATAAGTTTAGTCTTGCTTTAGGTATAATAAAAGTCACGTAATACAAAACCTTTGCCATTTCTTTCAATGTGGTCAACATGACAATTGTTGGACATTTGTGTTCAAAAATCATCCTCCAGAAATCATTCACTGTTGCTGGTTTTGGTCCTAAGTAAAATACGATCATTCAGGTCTTTTTTCATACTTTTTAATTACTCTTTAATATCCAGGCTGAATGAAAAAAGTTCGTCAACTTATTGTGATATAGATTCGTCAACATATTATGATATAGATTCGTCAACATATTATGTTGTACCTTGTGTAGCGATGTAACTCTTCTCCACCAATCCCTACAAATTATTTTCAAAAAAGCATTTAGAGATTCATGGTAGAGACATTACCCTACGTCATTGTTTTTGCACTCACGTTGATGTACGAAGCATTGATGTAATCTGATTTTTCGTCACCAGACAAAATGACACGAGAATCATTATCTACAACCAGAGAAAACATTCAGTACTCGTTGATGGCTGAAGATTACCATCGTTTACTTATATTCTTGAATCGTAACGATGTCATATGAAAACATCAAGTCTAACTAACTTACATGTGACTGCGTTGCCGTATCTGTTTTTCGGTCGGTTAAACGCTCGTTTTGAGATGTCTCCTTTGGAAATGTGGGCAGTTGGTAAATCCTGAAAAGTTGAATACGAAAGTTGGTTCAAATTTAGAAAGCTACTGCAACGATGTCAACTAATTTCAGAATTATGATAAAGACAACTTGGTTGGAGTAGTGTTATGGTTGTGAATTTCTCACTTCACCTCAAATTCCAGCTTGAAATCTTTTTTATCGTTTTGTCTCAGGTTGTTCACGTAATCACTGAATTCGCCAACAGGAACAGGATTATGAATCCTCGCAACAACAGCTGGCAAAATATGCATTTGAGTTAACGAGGATTTAACGAAATACAATATTCTGTCATTAAGCACTGCTTGGTTGCCTATAGTCAGTGACAGGGAGAACTTTGTCTTAGTAAGGTGCCCCACCTTCTCCCATCTTTGTTTCACCCACCTTCTTGGTTACCATAGATATTTTTATCACCAGCTGCAAAATCTGAAGGATATGTCTTCTCCTCCCCAACTGGACTAACGTCTACTTCATCTGCTCCAGCAACGGTGGGGTTTTGTTGTACTTCAATAGACTCTTTGGGATCAAGATCACCGTCGTTAGGATCAAGATATCCCTCGTTGATCGCGGGTGAAGCAACTCTTGGTTTCTCTTCGAGTTTATAATCTACTTCATCGTAATGATCTTTTTCGTCTTTGCGTCTGAAATACAAGATGACATTCAAGCAGTGAAAAAAGACACAAAACAACGGGCGTATTTACGTCAAAATGTCGAGAAATAACATGTCATCGTCATCATCACCATTGAAAGCTATGGTAGAGTCATCATATAAGAGAAACTTGAAACAATATTTCACATGTTCACGCACGCACTCTATAAAAACACTCTGTGACAGTCTTCCTCGTCATTCAGGGATTTTTGTGCTCCTCGGATATAAATAATCGCAAGGACTGAAGGACAGAGTTCATTCATTCCCGAGAGGATGGATCTTTTGTAAACTGATCTTCAACATGATTACCTTCTTCTACACAGAATGATCACGACTACAACCAGGATAAGAAGAAGACACCCACCACCTGCTGCACCAGCAATTATTGGAATATTATCACTCTTAGTATCGTCGTTTCCATCACTCTCTGTAGTGGGCATAACAAATATGTTATATTACATGGTCATAAACAAAAATATCTTTAGTTCTGGTAAAGACAACATGCAGTCAGTTTTTAAATTGTTTATCGTTTTTATAAACGAAAACAAGCTCGTTTAAAACTTTGAATCAATGATGATTCACTTCCTCCTTTTTTTTTACAGTATAAGCTGAGTTTGTACACAGGTTACGTTTTAAGTATTTACTTTTACTTGTGGTGGTGCTTGAGTCAGTTGTGATTGCTTTGGGAGTGCTTGTTGCTGACGTTGTCGTCTTTCCAACTGTTGTTTTTCTAACAGTCGTTGTTGAAGCAGGGCTCCAATCCGTGGAGTAAAATTCACTCTGGAGTGAAATATTAAGTTGAGACTGCATTAACATCTGTAGAAGGTTCCCTTTTCGATATGTTTCGGTAACCTCATGTATTCAAGATAAATTTCCAGCAATACCTTGTCATGGAGAAAGATCCTTTGAAAAATACTGTAACTTGCTCCAGACTCCAGTGGTCCATTATAATAATCAATTGTTGTTGATCTTCGTCTTCGTGTTGTTTGAGAACTTGTATTTCCACCATCACCAAGTATAAACATGTTTTTATCCCTGCTTGTTATGACGGCGGCAATATAAGGTTTTGGGTCAGCTGACGTTTTAGCTTTTTCGTATGTCACTAGATCTTTGTTATCGTAACTGCTGGGTGATGGAAGTTTGTCATTGTTTTTTCGTTTCAAAGCCACGACGTAAAAATATCTAAAAAAATTCTGTAGTTATATAGTCATCTGAATGGTTTCTTCTGAAACTCTTTGTAATATTAGTTCAACTTACGTAAAATTTTCCGAAGGGCTTTGTAATAGGAATGTTAATGTAGTATTGGTTTTATTTGTGGCCATCCCTGTTCGTTCTACGGGAAAATATGTAAATTTGTTAGCGATCTGAGATGAAATTTTTGACTGTGAGAATTTTACTTTGTGAAGTTTGCTCTCCTCAACTAATAAGTAATAACAGATCTCAAGATTAAACGTCGGATTTTACCTCCATTTGTAAATATTCCCTGACTTTTACTGTAGTTTCCTCGACCAACTTTAGTACTTGCAAGAACACGAACATAATATTTGGTTGATGCATTCAAACTGTCGATGACCAACATCATCTTCTCTGTAGTATGTTCTTTAAAGCAAGGTTTAGTTTCTTCATGTGAGATACACACAGTATAATTGACGATCACGCCATTTCTTTTCTCTTCTTCAGGAGGATCCCACGTGACTGATAATGAGGATGAACTTTCTGCAGTGACTTTGACGTTCAGTGGAGGACCTTCTGGAGCTGGAAATTTAATTGTAAGTTGTTTCTTTGGGTTCGTTTTAGAAAGTGTTTGTATTATATGACTACCCGCCTCAATTACACATGAACCCGATGCTTCGAAACCGCGTTAAGAAATTGTATATCCATCATTCTTACCATCCTCTCGTGTTGAAAACATAATTGTTTTCGCTGAACTAAAACCATCCTTGTTTCCAGCAGCTACAGATATTTCATAACTTGTGTATGGAGTGAGCTTATCTATTTTGTATTTATTTATATTTCCCGTGGTGATATTCAGAATAAGCGAGTTGTTTTTCTTCATTTTAATCCAAAATCTTGATACGCTGGTAAATCCTTGATTCTCAGGATCAATCCACGATATTTCAACACTTCGTGACTTGATGTTAAAGGCGGTGAGGTTTCTAAGTTGGTCTGGATATAAAGCTGTTAAGAATAAAAATAAATTATTATTGCCAACTCTTTATTAAAGCCTGGATAGAATATATTATAAGTAATGTATTTAGGTCATGTATAACTTACTGTCACCACAAATTTCAATTTTCATACAAGGTTGAACTTCATATGATAATGGAATAAACCGTAAAGCTCTTGTTGTTGTGACATTTAAACTTCTTATGGCTGCGTCATTAGCATTTTTGTTGCCTTGAAATATCTATTAAAAAGTGTAAAATTAAGTATATATTTCATTTATTGTTAATAATTACCGTTCTTGAAATATATAAAGCTAATGATAATAACGTAAACCGTCTAAAGAATGACTTGCTTATTTGCAATGAGAGATTTAGTTGTTAATACAAAAAATCAAAAAATGTCTCTAATCAACTTTTTAGAGGCTTTTGTATTTCAAGGTAGCTAGTCTAGTGAAAACATCAAACTAGAACAAAAACATTACCGTCCCATCTTGTACTCGTCTGAGTCGTCTCCAGTTTACCAGGTCTACAGTGTAATTAAGGTTAAATGATGTCACCCATTTAGAGCCAGTGGCTGTGCTATTGCCAAATGTCGCTATAGCATATAACACGTAAAGTCTTCCTAAGTCGACTTGAAGATAATGTCTACCATCTGAGACAGAAGCACACCAAGAGCTACCACTAGATATCCTTGCATCAGAAGCTCTGTGACCTTCTGAAGAAACTGACGCAGTAAATGACGAATCTGGAAATCTTTCTTTGTCTTCTAGCAGAGGATTGTCGCAAATATGACCTGAAATAAAGAATGTTAATCCATATTTGTTCGCGTAAGCTGCACCAGCATATCCAGAATATACTTACATTTGATGTAAGAGAGCTGTGAACAGCTTTTTTGAGAGGTTGTAACTGAACATTGAGACAAGTGATGCTCTTTGCCACCACAGTCAATGCTTCCAGAAAATACTTCTTTCGTGCTAGACATAGCAGTCTTATTAACAACAGAGGATGCTCGTGTATAACCCTGGTGACGACAAACAACATCCTTGGCGTTGTTCTTTAAACTCTGCCAACAAACAGTGTTGGTTCCATTATAATTGACATCTATTTGTAAAATACCCTCGTTTGGTAAAGATGAATCTGACAGATGCACGTTATCCACTACAAAAACAACAATAGTAAATGTTTACGTATTTAAAAAGAATTCTTCTCTGGTATTTCTTTGCTACTATTAATAAACATCTGATTTTCTTGAGCGTAAATAAGTACCAACTTAATAAATTTGGTATTCCGCAATTTTTACATTATATCGAGGACTAAAGCTACATATTATTTTCATATTCACGATGGTTGAGGACCTATGGTGAATTCATTTGGGCCAGTAACAAATAGCGCTAAGTTATGTCTTTTTGTATAAATCAGAAACAATTTTATCGCTTAATGGCATGCACTGACATTTAATTTAAATAGCTAGAAAATATCCCACGCAGACGCAGGGAGGTTTTGAGGTTTTTGGGAGTTTAAAGTTTGAAGGTGGCACCAGTTAGTATTGTTTTGCGCTCTCGCACTTCACACGAGAAACATGCATTAAATACTCAGCACTCCAACGCAACTTCACTGAATCCAAAACAAACATACCACATAATGAGTATTGTTTTGATTTATCAATACATTGATATTCAAAGTAAAGATATTTTTTCAATCCAGGACACAGATCATCAGAGAACAAGGTTTTATTCACAGTTATTTTACACTCATGTTGACCATCACATTGTTTCTTAACAAGACATGTTACATCAACTGTACAACTATAATCATCACTCAAACCACATGTCTTTGAGTCAGACAATCCACGGTAAGATGCAGTCTTGACCACCATGAACTGATCTTTACAACAGGCGACATTCTCTGTCGTATTTCCATAACATGTCACTGAACCTGAAAAATTAAAATTGATCCAGGCTGTGTGTGGTCTTCCAAATTTGAAATCCGCTTCTTATATATCCTCTTTAACAACTACTGCGGTCACGGAAAATCTTTAAGAGGGGAGGGCATATATTCATTTATTATGTGTATAGAGATTTATGCACAGCAGAGTGATGATATAAAAATCGTATTTCAAATTGTATTTTAAATCGTGAAATACGATGGCGTCAAAATATAGGATATTACATTCAACCCATTATCAAATCTTTCGGAAAGGATATTTAACTTCTACTAAACAAAATTACAAAGAAACTGGTAATAAATATGTTTTGATGTATAAAATTTCGAAATTTTGTTGCTCGCTGTGTTTTTGTATATTAAAATTATGCTAGCGTGTCTTTGTCAAATTGATCTCTATACACATTTACTAAACAAATTGCTTCATTGTTGGCTCGTTTGTACGAATTTTATTATCCACTCGTTGCGAAGGATCGCAAACTCACTCGTTCGTTTTGCGATCCTTCACAACTCCTGCATAAAAATCGTACGCACTCGCCAACCATGAAGTAATCTATATACCGTAGCTATATTCACCTTCATCATTATTAGTATCTTTTGAAATATATTGTTTTACGGTCTGAGAACATGAATATCCCCCTCCCCCACACACATTGCTATCCCCCGCGGCCCTATCGCAAACCCGTCTCAGACAACGTTGACAGGCAGAGAGATCGTACCGGCAGAAAAGAAACTTACCAAAATTAAAACGTTTATTCTCCCCGTCTAGACAGCTTGGGTTCGTTTTTAAGTATCCATCAGGGTCTGCACACCTGGCTGCGGAATTATAAAATCCCCGTAAACCCCCCGAGGAGGTTTGTTCTATAACCCGGTCGTCAGCACAGGCAGATTTTTCTATAGTCCCTGGGGTATTAGGAACGTAGACGTAAAACATTTCATCTTGATACCTCTTATCAAATATAACAAGACATCCTTGTCTTTTCAAATTCAACATGGCGCCATTATCACGAAACCGAAACTGAGCAGCTGGATCCAGACAGTTGTTGGAGAGTTCAAGAAAAGATACGCTGCCCCAGTCCGGGCCTTTTGACTGTATTCGTGCTGTGTCATAGATACACTTTCCTGTCTTGATATGTTTCAAAAAAAACCCAACAACACCTGGAAAAAACATCACTCCGCTTATTTTATATGCGTTATATTGAAAAAAAACCATAAAAAAGTTTAGACATTCTAAGCAATTCCATGATAATGATTAATTTTCTATGCAGTATAGAATTACCAAAGGTTAGCTAGAGAAATACTGGTCTAGCGTTTTGCGATAACAATGCGAATTCATCTTTAGTAAGTTTTGCATAAGTTTTATAGCATAAGTTCTTAAATTTATAACTTTTGAACACACGAAAATAATTCATTGTTGCGGAGTCTAGCTATAGCAGACTAGGAGCATCCTAATTTGTGCAGCAGTCAAGTTTTTTGCTTCGATTTGTGAGCTATTACTATAAATAAGTAATGCACTTTTTATAAATATTTGATCCGCTTTTATAAATATGTGATCGCTAGATCTGTTTACAATGTAAGATAGATCATGTCAGAACAAAAAGACACGCAATTCTCTGATAATTTGCCAAGCTTTTTACACATAGAAAAGCACCTTTTGAGCAGAGCGGTGTGTCTTTTCTACATCTGTTCCATGAGGTGATTCTCAGGTCACATTGCTGTTAAATATAAAGCCTGCAGAAATAACATTGAGTAACGTTTGTGACCAGAGAATCACCTAATGATATCTTACGGTTTCTTACAAAGGTTTTCGGTGTAAAGTGTTATAAACTCAATATCCTTTGCGCCCTCCAAGTCATATGTTTCGTCGTTAAGCCTGCATGGTTCTCACTGACTACCGACAGTCGGCAATGAATTGTTGGTAAGCGCTGCATGATGAAGAAAATTTATTCAAAATAACGAAACACTTTATTTCCATTCCCGAAAGATCGGGCGACAATAGCCATCCCCGGAATCATCCCCGGTGATCATGAACTATAAGTACCACAAGGCTTTAAACCCCCCCCCCCTCCCAACAACAATGTCAGTAACACTTTCACATTCACAGCAAATATATTTCTAACCTCTATAGAGTATAGTGCAACCTTGTTCATATATCCATATATAGCTATATGTGTAATGCGTATAACATACATACACAAATATATATCTAGTTAACTGATCACGCAAAACTAATGTACTCGAATATGAGAAACTGAGGGTCATTCATAGATACTTCAGATGCTGGTTTTGTCCATGTCGTAACTGAAAGTAAGCAGACTTGAGATATCATTTTATTGCGACAGTACATAGATTCACCAGATAAGTTCATCAGTGCGAATTAAGCCAAGTATTCAGTTTTTATAAATTGTAAATGATATAGTTTAAATTAATACTTACCATGAAGATACAAGAGACTGACAATCAACCC